GACAGCTAACGCACACCTGTGAATTTGCGGTTGCATTCATTACTAAATACTTACTGGAACCTAGTCCTAATTCTCCTAAACAAAAACATAACCACAACAGGTGCCGTAGCCCTAACTACAACCTCCGCCCTCTGGAATATGGAATAAGGCCACCCGTAATACAGGGGATCTAATTTCGTGTTTCTAACCAGACAATTAGGCAGGATAAGCATAGCAGATTGCTTTTGGACATAAGGGTCACAAGAGGACTGACTGAGCTTAACAAGTAAACCACCTATAAAACCCTGGTAAATTGGAATTACACGATTTCTTCACGTATTTGACTTGAAAAATAGTCTCAGTTTCTACAATAAATTTGACAATTGACTTTTCCTGCATCAGTCCTGCAAGACATGATCCAGTGTGTAGAGGCATGGAGGAGCAAGGGAGAAAGTGACATTATCAAACTAGCAGTTCTTAGCGAGTGTTGCTTTTACAGTGGCCCTGGCATATGCCCATCTCAGAGCGGAATTGTGAACCACATCAAACTGTATCGGAGGAGACTTTGTCAAGCTGTTTCTCATAGGAGACGAGGTGTCGATCGCCCACTACAACTTATCATCCCCAAAAATATTATATCTGAAACTATTCCTCTCCAGGCCTGTTCAGACTTCCTTACATCACATTCTCTTCGGGTACTTCCAGGAACACGAACACAGACGTTGACAGACAGAAGAGAGCATGAACAATCTTCAATAATACTGTTTAGGACAGGGGGACTGTTGTCGAATGAGTCTTATCGAATGCAGTCAGCTGGCTATGTATGTCACTGTATGTGCAATTCTGTTTTCCGCATACGATCCCGGATGCATTTTTGTGTCAGCTTAATTTCAGACCTGATGCCACGCACGCTAATTTCTCGCTGCTCATCGCAGATGAACTTCTTAATAATTTACCTAATAAGACGATATCGTTGGCTGTTACATGACGACTCTGGTGAGGGACGATGAGCTGGCGATAGTCTTTGCATCCTTCCGGTCGATACCGAGAGAACAACCAATTGATGTAGACCCGCGTTAGCAGAAACATTGGATCACCCATTTTGAGGCGGTCTTTTTTAAATAAAATTCTACCCATTATCCGCTGTTAAATGAGTTCCGACCCGCTTCCTTTTCAGGCAACTGCAAGAGGTAGAGAGTTTGCGTTTTGCGGAAGCCTCGGACGCTGAACTTTGCTAAGACAGAACCCCCTGACGGAGACACAGCGAGGCAACATTAGGAAGAAATAGAATATGTTCCTTGAAACGGTCCACGTTATCTCGACGAAATTGCTTTCAGATTCAGTGTTTCGATGTTTAATTGCTATTCTTCTACAAAATGCGGATTAGCCCCTACATCCATGCGTTCAGTTTCACCTCGGTTAGACATGGACTTTGAGTCAAAATCATGGATGCTGCATTTTCGTACAGTCTATAAGCTTGATATAGCGCAAATTTAATGATGATCGTAAGATGCTCGAAATTTATTTTCTAATTGACAAGCACTGTTTTACTGCTGTCAATAAATGACTAACATCTTGAGTCCTCAGAATGACCGAAGCACAGAAATCATGCACTTACATCATTAAGTATGAAAATAATTTACATAATTCCAACTGCTTATGGGCCTAGAAGGTTTAGTTCCGCTGAATTAATTCAAGACATCGATTAAGGCAGAAGCACGCGAATTAAATTAGAACTTGCGGCAAATATGCAATTAAATATATGCCACTCTGAAACTGTTTTACTTATTAAATTTCATTAGCTCAGCAGAGAGGCTCAAAGCACAGTCGCCTCTGTCGTCTTTGTTGTGCAGTCTAAAATTTACTTTCTATAAAACATCAGGCTTCGTCTCAAAACACCCTAATCGATCTCAGATTAAAAACAGACTTTCTACTGTGGCGATGCCTGTGGACGATCTAATGACGCTTCAAGGTCATTCGATGCATCACTAAACTTGTCTCCAAATGCCTCTTCTCCTCCTCCAATGATATGGCATCCAGATTCAAGCCTCAACAAATTAACGCTAATGATAACCGCAACATGGATTTCTTTACAGTCATCTACAAAATCACACGGAGTAATTCCACTCTCCTTCGTCTTCTTTACGAAACCTTCTCCGGAGCTCATATGGGAAGATGATTTTCCATGCAGAAATGCATCAAGGCTGCATGGTACTTTGTCGAGGACTGCAATCAAGTGGATTAATTGGTGAAAAGTACAAGCTTTTGATTTTATAGCAATTCACACGCGGGAAGAGTTGAAGGTGGCATGCCACATCTCCTTGCTTTTGACAAATAAGATCAACCGAAACAAAAGTGATTGCAGCCTGCTCATCCCACAATGCCCCTCCGAACTGCCGCGAACATCTTCGCACGCAGCAAGAACAAATGGATCTTTATTGTAAGTGCGTGTGCGTGCGTGCGGTTAAACACGTCTACAGCCAACTCTGCAAATTCTGCCAATACAGACCCGAATGCATAATATGCCGCGTCTACCGCGCGCAGGAGCCAGAGTCCCTTCAACCAACCCAGCCTCCAGCTCCTCACCATCTGCCTTCAATTCCCTTGATCTTTTCTCCTCCTCTTCCTACTTCTCCACCCCCTGCTCTTGCACCGTCCCCCTTGCGCTTCTGGTCCACCCCATTTCAGACCCTCACGCAGACTCTCCTTGTCATCGACTTCCAGAATCTCGTAGGCCGGTGACGCCTGGCACACAAGAGCGTGGGCAACAGCAAACAGCAGTACCAACGACAGGCTGGTCATGATCAGGTAGTTTGCAATGTGGGTTCACTCACACACGTCCTTCTCTGTCGGTCTGCGATTTGACTTAAATCGACCATCTTGCATGTGGGTGTGCCTTCAATTGCGTGGGGACTTAATTATCGACACTGCTGTCGGGGGCGTAATTGTAAACCGGATGGTGACCGGTGTACCTCTGGATTTTGAAGTCAAGATCGCATAGACGAGGAACGTTTACACTAATACTGCGTTGGCGTTATGCCGTCATTGGCAGCCTGATGTGAAGAGTGTTCAGTGAAACACTAGCTGTCTGTTCTAGAATATGGCGTTGCTATTATAGAATGAAGTGCATTTTTTAAATGCTCTCTGCATGTTTAACCAGTTGTTCAGTGTAATTTCGGGTGGTAGCGAGAGAATCATTGGGTAGCAGTCTTTATTTTTAAATGTATATTTGCATTTTGTCCCGGAAATTCAGCACCGGAAGTGTTCTGCAGTCCGTCTTTTTAACTGTTTTCTAATATTTTTCACAACTTTCGTCCATTTGGGCCAAAAATTTGGTCTATTCCTCTTCTTATATCTAGTCCGCATTCCCTGAGGAGATCCGGTAGCAGCATATTCTCATTCATTGGGGATTTCTTACAAGTAAACTGTCTCTGTGACTGGACAAAGCGGTTTTCCGCTCATCGTTTGGAAAACGTTGTTTGTTGTCATCCGCATATTTCGTCTTCTGACGAGCACCTGTCCGACAGTTTTTCAGTAGGCATATGAGCTGGCCGAGTTTTGCTATCGTACCGAACTTTGGTATTCAAATGACGGCATCGGTGGTGAGGTTTACTCTCGCGAAGGCTTGCATATGATTGATTCGGCTGCCACACCAGGGACACGTTCATAGAGGAAGAAGCATTCTCTTCCAGTTATCCTGATGTGCGCTGTCTCACAGATTGAAGTTTTCTACGAAAATAAATTTGTCTTAGCGTGTCACATAGGCCTGTTCCGCGCACACTTGACAACGTCTCCACTCAATAAATAAGTTCGGTTACTTCGGATCCAATCGATTGTGAGTGTCATAAAGGCCACAGCAGGAAAGAACGACTGCAGCCTCACTGTCAGTCGTGGCAGGAGAACTCAGTTTTGCCGACAGGTGGCAGCCTTCCTATCTACGGCTTTTAACTCACTGTGATAAATGTAAACGCCTCAGATAGCTTAGAATTAGGAATGCGATGACTTGCCCCGGGAATTGTATCTCATTGTCGAGCTCACCCTCTCCTCGCTTCCACCTGCACCAGTCGATTATCCTATTCCATTTATCAATTGATCTTGCGATCGCTGTCAGTGGCCGACGGAGCCAAGCAGCCTGCCTGCATGCCTTCTCCCGTCCCACCACAACATACCAGGTTTAAATGCATCGGCAGTGGGCGTCTGGCGCCTCAAATACGCTAGGGTGCCATAAATTACATCGAAGTGCTATTGTCAACAGCACAGATATGTCCAGTGACGGAAGTCGTAATGGGCATGACAACCCTTAATTACTTGCTCATCGTACGACAATTTTCTGCAAACCTGGCGATTCTGCTGGCAGTCTGAGCCTAGCCATCACAGCCTATAAATCCTGTATATGGTCTCGAACTGTCCACCCTAACTTTGGAGCAGGACCTACTAAAGACTGCGTCGAAAATTTCTACACTGCTTGTTGAGCTGCCTAGATTTGTACGCTTGGCATATTACCAAAACGTCTTAGCTAAAACGCCCTCCGGGCCGTGCATGCTTGAAATTCAACGACAAACCCAACCATACGCACAGTCTTCCCTATTTGACCCTAGGTGACGTTTTTTTCTTCTATTCCTGTGGATTGCTCCATTTGTATAACTTCGCTGCATGACTGGAGTACGCACTGACGTCCGAGATATAAGGCCGGAATGTGGAGTTGATCTGCAATCATCCCTTCCTCAGTCACTTGCGCTAACCCCCCGGCCACCGCAGTTCAGCAGCGAGCGATATCACACGTCTCCTTGACTGTACAGATGCAGAAATTGCTTGCCAAAGTTGCAGTGGATGCCAGATTCTGGCCGTCAAGTTCAACTATCCTGAGGAAGAAGTCACAAAGATGAAAGTCCAGTTGCGATGCAGTCTCCATCCAGCTAACGCTACCAATATGTCTACTGGAGGAGTAACTAGAATTAGGGCAAAAGCTCCCAGCATAATTGGCACGCCAGCACCCATTACGGCGGCCTCAGGACGAATAGCTAATAAGCGAGATAATAACGGCCAGAAAGGAAACGCAAAAACTGAAGAGAAAATGAAATCAAATTGTAAAAAGGCCAAGAAAAACGGACGGCTACTTCCGGAAGATGCCTCCGTAGAGGCCGAAACCGAGGCATTGACGGACGTTCCGACCCTCAAGGCAAATGTTGTGCGTCCAAACACCTTTGCTGACTCTCCGAAACAGTCCGCACTGGATAGACCAGTAGGAGCGGTGGAATCGATTCATCTATTAGAGTCACAGAGTTCTATTCACAGTCTTCTCTGCCAAGCGCTTCTTCCAAGGTTGTCAACATAAGTGTCATACTAACAGATGGCGTACGCGCATCTGCTTCACCATCACCAGCGCATGGTCCCAGAGCGTTACGTCATTTAGGGAAGCACACTTCCATCGAAAATAAAAAAGAAACCGACAGAGAAAAATGTCTTATTATTCAGGGAATTCCTGAATCAAGGACTGGTTTTCGGAAGACCTATCACTCTTCCAAGGTCTTCTCAATAACATTTTGGAACCCACTGAGGCTATTGAAGTAATCAAAGCCTTCTGCCTTGGAAAACGAGCAAATAATCCATCAGTGTCGAATCATGCCCGACCTCATAAAGTTGGGCTGGCCAGCAGCGACCAAGCCAGTCTCGTTCTCTCCAGGCGATTCCGGATTAGAGGCTACAACTTAGGTGTTTTTTTTTCAACCGGACTACTCGCCAGCAGAACGGCTCAAACGTCGTCAAATAGTTCTAGCACTAGGAAAGAGGCTTAGCGAGGGGAGTACAACTGAGTTATATACAACAACCAAGTACGGCGGCGTCCGTCACTTTTCCTTTGGACAGGTCCTGTCCGAATGACCGCGCAGCAGACATATTAAGTGAACGTGCTAACCAAAATGTAGCCACTTTTTCCGTCAACCGTAAATTGGAATTCTTGTACACCAACGTGCAGAGTTTGCTATCAGAGTTCGACGAGCTGAAGATCCACCTCTGCGATCTATCCCCTGACGTAATCTCTTTAACAGAAACCTGGTTGACCCAACACGTAGACGACCGTGAGTTGGCCTTGCCTGGCTACCAGATGTTTAGAAGGGATAGGGAAGGGCTTTAGGGAGGACGCGTAATCGCGCATGTGAAAAATGTGATAAATGTATCAGACAAAATTGACAAATTTTCGTCTACTTCTGAGGCAATCTGGCCGTCTATTAAAGTGCCCAGCTCGCCTAGTCTCGATGTCCTGACAGTTTGTTGACCGCCGAGACGGGACAACATGGCCAATGCTCGCCTGCTGGAAGAGCTCGAAAAGTTCGCTACGCGGCCGGATATCTTGATCATGCGTGACTTAAACGCGCCTCATATTGACTGGAGCTCGACCCATGCAAATAGCACGGAGCAGACCTTCGATGGGAGTTTTCTGAACACGGCACTGAAGTTCTTTCTCACTAAACTTATCATGTTTCCAAATAGAGTACGCGAAAGCCAACAGGCCATCTGTCTTGATCTTGTCCTTACGAAATCACAGGACAGCATTAATGAGGTGTCATGCTTGCCCCCCCCCCCCCATAGGAAAAAGTGACCACGTCGTTCTTCTATATGATTACTAGCTTTTCTCCATACCCGAAAACCCGCGACAGTTAAAAAAACCTTTGGCGCGCTGATATCGACCAACTTAGGGCTGAAATTTTACCTGTTATAAAACCTTGATAAATTGAAAAGACACGCCTTCTTCGCATAGGTGACCTGAAAAAGAGTTTCAGTTTCTAGAATAAATTTGGCAATTGATTTTTCCTGCACCAGTCCTGCAAGACATTATCCAATGTGTAGAGGCATAGACAAGCAAGGAAGAAAAGTGGCATTATCAAACTAGCAGTTCTTAGCGAGTGTTGTTTTTACAGTGGCCCTAGCATATGCTCATCTCAGAGCGGAATTGTGAACCACATTAAACTGTATCTCAGGGGACCTTGTTAAGCAGTTTCTCACAGCAGACGAGGTGTCGATCGCTTACTACAACTTCTCATCACCAAAATTCTTCTAGCTGAATCTATTCCTCTCCAGACCTGCTCAGGCTTCCTTACATCACATCCTCTTCGGGTACTTCCACGAACACAAACACAGACGTTGACAGATAGAGGGGAGTATGACCCATCGTGAATAACACTGCTAAGGGCAGGGTGGTTTTTGTCGAAGGAGTCTTATTGAATGCAGCCTGCATGCCTACTTTGTCCCTGGGAAAGGTTAGATATGGTTATGTAGCCCCGCCCGATCGACACATTACCGTCTGGATTCAGTTCAGGCATTGTGTTAAGGGACTAGGATAAGCGGTTAGATTTAGCGTCAGGGGTTACTGCAGCTGTTTCTTAACCATTCAAAGTACAACGATACAGGACACATAGATGAATTCTTAAAGCACTACTTGACCTCGTCCAATTTTCGATCCCAGGCCCGATCTTCTTACCGGCCTCGTATATCAGGTCGATGCGGATTGTAATTAAGTGAACTGATCGGTGAAAAGGGCAAGTTTTTGACTTTGCAGCAATTCACACTCGGGAAGAGTTGAAGGTGGCATGCCCCATCTCCTTGCTTTTGGCTAATTAGTTCAACCGAAACAAATCTGATTGCCGCCTTCTCATCCCGCAATGCCCCTCCGAACTGCCCGAGCATCTTCGCACGCAGCAAGAACAAATGGATCTTTATTGTAAGTGCGTGTGCGTGCGTGCGGTTAAACACGTCTACAGCCAACTCTGCAAATTCTGCCAATACAGACCCGAATGCATAATATGCCGCGTCTACCGCGCGCAGGAGCCAGAGTCCCTTCAACCAACCCAGCCTCCAGCTCCTCACCATCTGCCTTCAATTCCCTTGATCTCTTCTCACCTCCTCCTCCTGCTCTTGCACCGCCTCCTTCGCTTCTCCTCCTTCCCTTTTCAGACCATCACTCAGACCCTCCTCGTCATCGGCTTCCAGAATCTCGTAGGCCGGTGACGCCTGGCACACGAGAGCGTGGGCAACAGCAAACAGCAGTACCAACGACAGGCTGTTCATTGTCAGGTAGTTTGCAATGTGGGTTCACTCACACACGTCCTTCTCTGTCGGTCTGCGATTTGACTTAATTAGACCATCTTGCATGTGGGTGTGCCTCCAATTGCGTGTGGACTTAATTATCGACACTGCTATCGGGGGCGTAATTGTAAACCGGATGGTGGCCGGTGTGCCTCCTGATTTTGAAATCATGGGCGCATAGACGAGGAACGTTTACACTAATACTGCGTTGGCGTTATGCTGTCATTGGCAGCCTGAATTGAAGAGTGTTCAGTGAAACACTAGCTGTCTGTTCTAGAATATGACGTTGCTATCATAGAATTAATTGCATTTTTTGAAATGCTCTCTGCATGTTTAACCAGATGTTCAGTGTTATTTCGGGTGGTAGCGAGAGAATCATTGGGGAGCAGTCTTTATTTTTACATTTCTTTTGCTTTTTGTCCCGGAAATTCAGCACCGGAAGTGTTCTGCAGTCCGTTTTTTTTACTGTTTTCTAGTATTTTTTCACAACTTTCGTCCATTTGGGCCAAAAATTGGGTCTATTCCTCTTCTTTTATCTAGTCCGCATTCCCTGAGGAGATCCGGTAGCAGCATATTCTCATTCATTGGGGATTTCTTACAAGTAAACTGTTTCTGTGACTGGACAAGCGGTTTTCCGCTCATTGTTTGGAAAACGTTGTTTGTTGTCATCCGCATATTTCGTCTTCTGACGAGCACCTGGCCGACAGTTTTTCAGTAGGCATATGAGCTGGCCGATTTTTGCTATCGTACCGAACTTTGGTATTCAAATGACGGCATCGGTGGTGAGGTTTACTCTTGCGAAGGCTTGCATATGATTGATTCGGCTGCCACACCAGGGACATGTTCATAGGGGAAGAAGCATTCTCTTCCAGATATCCTGATGTGTGCTGTCTCACAGATCGAAGTTGTGTACGAAAACAAATTTGTCAAAATTCAACACGGACATAAAGAAATGGAGGTTGTCATAGCACTTGTCCATCAGATCGTCATGGCAAGTCATCGGAAGTGGGATCGTAGATGCTGCCAATCGCGGGTAACTTTGTCCGCGTAGCTGTCAGTGACGGTGGGACGGAGGGGATAAAACGGTTGTTTATTTTGGTTTCGTTTGTTCGGACAAGTTTCAGTACAGACTTACCTACCTCTCTGCTACCTCTGTGAATATGAGCACGGCCTTTGGTACGAGGATCGTGAGGCACCCGTTGTTACCTCTTTCCTGGCTGTAGATGCCAGAATAGTTGCCGAATTCACCGAGGCCTAATTAGATGCTTATCGAGGCATCACGCGGGCGGTCTCATAGACACACAGACCGAAGCTGTCTAAGAAAACAAGTTTGTGAAAATTTAACAAAGTCACAAATACGTGGAGGTCGTCATAGCGCTTTTCCATCATATCGTCAAGGTATGTCATCGGAAGTGGGATCGTAGATGCAGTCAATCGCGGGTATCTTTTTCCGCGCATTATCACCGCAGCAATCTGTGGCGGTGGGACGGAGGGGATGAAGAGGCGGTTTGTTTGTGTTTGGTTGTTTCGACAAATGTCACGACAGACTTACCTACCTCTCTGCTACCTTCGTTAACCTGACCACCGCCTATGGTACGAGGATCGTGAGGGATACGTTGTTACCTCTTTCCTGGCTGTAGATGTCAGAATATACTCCGATTTCACCGAGACCTTTGTAGATGCGTAGCGAGGCATCACGGGGAAAGTATCATCCCTCGCAAGTGGATGCACGGTTTGTTTGGAATAACTGCTCGAAGGCCGACAAGCGACAAATGTTGAACCAGGTGCATGAAAAGGAGAGGCTCTATTCATTCCGTTTGAATAAGATAGATGACCAATATATCTGCATGTTTTCAATCCTGACATCTTTTATTAGAACATTAGATACGTCAATTGAAAATAAATGGCAGAGGAAAATCGAGTTTGTTTCATCTCTTTTGCGTAAATTGAATTCTCTCTGTTGCAACACCCATCATTTTATGAAACAATGTTGTTTGTGTCATTTTTACGTATTATGCAGAAGTGGGATGTGCATTTCGAGTGACTGCCTTGTCAGGGCACTGCATCATACCCGATTTTCTGGAAAGGAAGCACTGAATCGCCTACATTGAAAAAATATTTTTGGTTCTCGTTTTATTGCGCTAACATCATTGGTGCCGTCCGTTTCTAACCGTTATATGACTAGCCATCAATAGTGTTATACATTTAAATGATGACGAGATACTTACTAAATAATATATATACCACATTTTCCTGCGTGTACGTTCAGCAAACGGGAAACTTGTCGTAGGGAATTATCTGAAAACGGGAAACGTCCACATGTCACCTGCGCGACTTTGAATATATCGATGCTGATTAATTGACAGTTTCACGGAATCACTTATTTTCGTAGCTGATTATGGCATTCATGTCAGATGTGCCCATGAGATCCATAGCATCACTGATATTCGGTGCGTTTGAACAAGGATGATAGCTCCCTTGTAGAGGACAGCCACTGATTACCTCAATCCTGCAGATTTGTTCAGCTTACCACTAGAAACAACGGTCTGCATTGGTAATATCCTCCTGCTCTTAAGCAAGAGTTTCGATCTACACCTCAGTTTGGCTGCGAGGGCCTACCGCCAACGCAGTGTCATCAGTATCACAGAAGAAATTGCCTGGACAGACCGCTGGCGGAGACGGCTTGTAGATTCTTGTGTACGCACTTCCTCTAAAGTAAGGGTTGTCATGCCCATTCCGCCTTCCGTCACTTTTGATTTGGGAATGACTGTGCTGTTGACAACAGCATGTCGACGGAATAACTGGCACTCTACTTATCTGATGCATGAGTAACCTCATATGGAATTACCAGTGTCTGCATTCCTCATGTCCGATTCGCCTTCTGCAGTCAGTCCGCAGAAACCTGTAATACGAGGCCGGTGGTAACATGGGGCCTGGGATCTGAAATTGGACGAGGTCAAGTAGTGCTTTAAAAATTAATCTATGTGTCCTCTATCGTTGAACTTTGAATGGTTGAGAAACAGCTGCAGTAACCCTTGATGCTAAATCTAACCGCTAACACTAGCCCCTTAACCCAATGCCTAAACCCCAACCGTAAGGTGTCAATCGGGCGGGGCTACATAAACATATCTTACACAGGGACAAAGAAGGCAAGCTATCTTATGTGTTTACATCTATCACGGTCAGCTAAAAGCTGTAGCCAGGAAGGCTGCCACCTGACGGCAAAACTGAGTCCTCCCTTCAGGAGTGAAATGGTTCCTTCCTGCTGCAGCCTCTATGACACTCCCAATCAACTGGATCCAAATTAAGCGAACTTACTTGTTGACTGAAGACGTTGTCACGTGTGAGAGGAACAGGCCTCTGTTATACGCGTAGACAAGCCAGTGAGGGCAGTATCAGCATAAACGGTTTTCGTCTATATTCACACTCAGGAGGTACACTGGCCACCATCCAGTTTACAATTACGCCCCCGATAGCTGTGTCGATAATTAAGTCCGCACGCAATTGGAGGCACGCCCACATGCAAGATGGTCTATTTAAGTCAAATCACAGACCGACAGAGAAGGACGTGTGTGAGTGAACCCACATTGCAAACAACCTGACCATGACCAGACTGTCGATGGTACTGCTGTTTGCTGTTGCCTACGCTCTCGTGTGTCAGGCGTCACCGGCCTATGAGATTCTGGAAGCCGATGACGAGGAGGGTCTGAGTGAGGCTCTGAAATGGGGAGGACCAGAAGCGAAGGAGGCGGTGCAAGAGCAGGAGGAGGAGGAGGAGGAGGAGAAGAGATCAAGTGACTTGAAGGCAGATGGTGTGGAGCTGGAGACTGGGTTGGTTGAAGGTGCTCTGACTCCTGCGCGCAGTAGACGCGGCATAATATGCGTTCGTGTTTGTTCTCGTAGAATTTGTAGAGTTGGCTGTAGACGTGTTTAACCGCGCGCACACACACACACTTACAATAAAGATCCTATTTTGATTAATGAGCCATTTTTTCTTGCTGCTTGCGAAGATGCTCGGGCAGTTCGGAGGGGCATTGCGGGATGAGTAGGCTGCAATCAGATTTGTTTCGGTTGAACTAATTAATCAAATATAAGGATATGGAACATGCCAGCTTTAAGTGCTGCAAAATCAAAAACTTGCCCTTTACACCGATCAGTTCAGTTGATTACACTCCGTAGCAACCTGTAATACGAAACCGGTGGTAAGAGGGATATTTGCAGATACGGGCCTGGGGTCGAAAATTGGACGAGGTCCAGTAGTTGCTCCCATGGAATGCTATGTAGCATGTATCGTTGTACTTTGAATGGTTGAGAAACAGCTGCAGTAACCCTTGATGCTAAATCTAACCGCTAACACTAGCCCCTTAACCCAATGCCTAAACCCCAACGGTATTGTGTCAGTCGCGTTGGGCTACATAACCATATCTTACCTTCCACCTACACAGTGACAGACAAAGCCAGCTGACTGCATTCAATAAGACTCATTCAACAAAAACCACCCCGTCCTTAGCAGTGTTATCCACGATTGGTTATGCTCTCCTCTGTCTGTCAACGTCAGTGGTCATGTTCGTGGAAGTACCCGAAGAGGATGTGATGTAAGGAAGTCGGAGCAGGTCTGGAGAGAAAGAGATTCAGCTAGAAGTATTTTGGTGATGAGTTGTAGTAAGCGATTGACACCTCGTCACCTATGAGAAACTGCTTGACGAGGTCTCCTCAGATACAGTTTGATGTGGTTCACAATTCCGCTCTGAGATGGGCATATGCCAGGACATCTGTAAAACCAACAGTCGCTAAGAACTGCTACTTTGATAATGTTCCTTTCCTCTCTTGTTTGTCCATGCCTCTACGCACTGGATCATGTCTTGTAGGACTGATGCAGAAAAAGTCAATTGTTAACTTTATTGTAGAAACCGAAACTATTTTTCATGTCACCTGTGCGAAGAAGGCGTGTCTTTTCACTTCAGCAAGCTTTTATAACAGAT